TCAAATTTGTTAGAGGCAGTGCCAATGAAGGCACTATTTCAAGAAAGTAGGAAAAAGCGTGTGAAGAGCCTTGTAAATAAGACCCCGAAGTTAAAGCTGTGGACCGAGTTTCGCACCCTTTGTGAGTTTCTCCATACACGTCGCCGCCTCGGAACTCCAGAAACTTAGCGTTATCAATGCCAGCAAGCACTGATAACTGTTAACCAGTCGGGGCGGGATTAACAGGAAAGGAGGCGTCAGCTCAGCCTTGTTGACTCCGCCCTCGTCAACCAATCGATTTCGAGCCGCAAGAGTGGGATTTCCGCTGTGGTTGCGTACTCCGCGTTCGTTTTCATTGGAGGGTTTTTTCACTTTGGTTGATCGCGGACGCTGCCTTTAATACTCGCCGCTATCCCATCAAACTGATATTCACAGTTAATCCTCCTGACTATTGTCGCTGGAATCCAGAAAGCATCTTCAGTAGAATGGGTGATGCGACAAAGCAAGCGTAATACGCCATCGCTGGGGGTGACAGCGACTCGTCGCATGCGAGAGGAGCATGGTCGGCCGGCCGTTCAGTTTAATGTTGAATGGAAACTGAAGATATTGATGTCACCAGAAGGATTTAAATTTGCTTCAATCGCAGACTGAATTAACAGATCGAGAAGTGCCGTTGAACTCGCGACGCGATGCTCGCAATAGGAGCGGCGAAGTGCGATGTCTTGTCCTTTTACAACCGAAAAACGGCTAGTTATATATAGCATTTTGATTGCGGTATGTCGAACATACCTCATTGGTGAAGCCCTGCCTGCAGCACATGAAGTTGTGTAATTTCTCAGTAAGCTTGATACACTTAAATTTACATCATTAATGGGGAACGAGGTGATGTAGTGGCAAGTGGCTAGCCGCCAAATCGCCGCGTTCCAAGGCGAATACTGATTTGCCCTTTCGCGCCTGCGCGAGCCAAGAGTTAAAAAATCTTTTAAATCTCTGTTAAATCGGGCGATCCTGGTATCCCCCGGCCCCCCCGGCCCCCCCCCAGCGGACTCGGATAGTGGGGATAAAAGCTACTCGCCTGAATATCATGTAGGCGCTCGCAGTCATTATTATAGGACCAAATCGCATTTCGAGAAGATTGTGTTATGTTCCGCAAAGAGGACTGTTAACGCCGAAATCTCTTCTATACCCCATGTCATGTTCCCAAAAAACGTGGAAAGGTTTATGTCTCCGGATCCAAATGTTGCAGCTCGAGTTTTGATGAACACTCTGAAGGCTGTTTTTCGTTATGATAACTCTGAAGGCTTTTCTTAACTTGCGACGGTTTTTGAATTTTTTTTCATAGAACTAGGAGTAAAGACAAAATGTCTCCACAATAAATATAGTGTCTCGAAGAAGGGTTTAAAACCGCAATTTATCAATAACATATATATCAAAGTTATTTATCGAGCTAATCATTTGGGCAACTGTAAACCACTTCCTGTTAGGGAGTGCGTGGTCGTCGGCTTTCCCTAATACCCCTCCCCCCTCCAATGAGAGATTCAGTAGTGCTGACATTCTATCACCTTCTCGAAGTGAACAGTCGAGTACTGCAAGCGAGTGAACTAGTAATGGTGAAGTGACGTAGACACTGGGATCCCACTCTTCTAAAACTGACAGGTTGACCTCCTCTCAACTTGATCTAAACATTACACTTTTAACAGTTCTCGGAGTATGGGCTGTCCGGAGTCTCATTACTCATCTGAATGTGTATTAACAATGTGAAACTCTAAAAGTTTATTCCAAACTGTCTCTTGAGTTTTTTTGGAATAAACTTTTGGAGTTTCACATTGTTAATACACATTCAGACTTTACAGTTCTGTCTATCCTGTCCAAATGAAGTGAATAATTTTGCACGGCCTGCACGTATGTCCATCCTTCTCAAGAGTGCATGGGAACGGGCTGAAAGTAATGCACGGATGCCGTCCACATTGTCCACCTGCGCTATCCCAAACCAGTCACACGCTCAACCATTACCAAAGGCGCTTTTTGGATTTTGCTATCGACGACGCAAGTGCTGCACGTTGAGGTCAGGGCGGGCGGAGTATGGAGTCAACACCGAGGTATCACGACCCTGCTATGCGTTCCCACCCTTTGAGCGGAAAAAAAAGTGGCACGTTACATGCAGTTTACGAAATCATTCCCCTCATTCGAGGAGATTCTAAATTTCAACGGGAATCTCTGTCTTTTTCAATAACACGTTTTAAAGACAACTGTTTCAATTCCATAGCGTGACGTGAATGCAATTGGCAATCCTGTCAATGGCTGTCAAAAACAACAACGGAAGGGGCACGTTGCTGTGGAAACCAAAATCCTTCATAACAAAAATATTTTGCAGAAAAAATATTCTTAATAGATAATTCCAAGGAACCGCATGAGAGATGTGATCTGTGCTTTTCATTTCATTTCGTTCTTACGTGGACTCCAGCTCACTAAAAGCTGTTAGCGAGCTAAAGGCAATTGGACGCAAATGGTTTCCTACTTAGCCTAAAATGCTAGTAGGGCGCTAAATAGTGGGGAAATGCGAAAGAACGGAGTGAAATGGTCAAAATCCTGCGAAGAAAAAGCCTCCGTTCTCAGTGACTTGAAAATCGATTTCGGACGAGTTTCCCGTAGGCATCTTGCCAATAAACCGCTACCCGTAATGTGTACGCCATGAGTATGCTTCAGGTCAACGTCGGCCGCTTCATACCAGTCCCTTCGCTTCATAATTTGCTTAGCAAATGAATGAATACGAGCGTCAGGAACGGTCGTCCATTTGTGGGCGGGCGGGCGTGGCGGGCGTTTGGGACGTAAAGTTGTGGCTTGATAGGGCCCTTATAAGGGCACCTCGGGAAATCGCTATGCAGCGCCTGCCCAGGGTCGCGGAATTCTATCCTGCCCAGGAGTATTGATCCCTCGTCGCCTTGGGGGCTTTATGCGGTGCCAATGCCTTCACTGATCAGTCGATAATTTCGCCCGTGTCCAACTTATACATCCTTTCACCTCACCCAGGTTTCGGTCTCAGACATACCAAAGTTTCGAAGGAAACAAAAGCCTTGATATCACCGAGCGCCATCGTATATAAAATCGGGTGGAAAATGACTCTCTGCAAGAGACACAGGGACAAAACGTAACTAACTAGCCAGAAAAATGCACTGAGCGCAGCACCAAGAGCAGTTGAGGCAGCTTGAAAACAATTGGACCTAGTTTCCATATTTCGTCGTACGATTGGGAGTTATAGCTAATCGTCAAAATATGGAACTAGGTCAAATTGTATGAGACAAAACTTGGATCACAAGCTGGCCTCCGTGAAGCCACGTCGCTTTTATTCCGTGCGATGTAGTGGCTAACGTTACCTTATTTTTATAGTACTCGGACAAGCTCTTGATCAGCTCTGCGGATGACACTGGAAGGCCAAGTTATCTAAAGAAATATGACCCGATACTTGAGCAGTGTCAAATAAATCCTCCATGGACTTTGAGAGCAACGTTGTCGTATTAAAATGGTTTGCCTCGAGCCAGAGTTAATAAGAATTGTTTGGTAATACCATTCTCCACTGCTGCCTGAAGTTCCTTCAATTAAATGCAAACTCGGTACCATGGTCCAGTACTCTCCTAAACAACGACCCAGATTCGAAATCTTCCTCGCTGAGAATTCCTCATCTACCTCGTGGCGCAAATAAGTTAAAATCCGTGCAATGCACTTATACTTATGTTAAGGACGCCGAAGAAAGACCTGGGTACCGAAAGCACTCACTTACGAAGCAAAAAAAAAACACGTTCTTCGCCACAAAACGTTGTTGAAGAACTGTTCAGGCCTGCGGGGAAGGAATACGTGGTTCGCCGCCACGTATTCCTTAACGACAGGCCTAGGCACTTCTCCATCCCTGGCTTACAGTAATGACGTGCACTTTCGATAACTGAATGCTAAGTTTTGACAAGGCAGAGATGGTGTAGTGACAAGTGGCGCGCTCACCACGTCGCGTCCTGTCCGGGTCGGTTCCGTCTAGGCGAACGGCAAGCCTTCTATCCCGGGACGGTAAATTGGTACCAGATTCGTCTGGGAGGATAAAACACTGACTTGTACATCGGCTGGCCCCCGCAAGTCATTGTATAGGCCACATCGCATTCAATAAGCCACTACGATTCTGAATGGAAGTAGAATGCGTGCCGCATCCCACAAAGGGATTGATCAACGGCGAAGATTTACCCTTCTTATCCTTCTAAGTTTTGACAGAAAAGGCTGACTCTGATCACGCGTTCTCCTTGTTGGAATAAGCTGATGGTCATAGTTCTCTGAAAAGAACTACTAAGTGAGCAGAAGGCGGCCTGAATATCAGGTCAGGGCAACGTAGCAACGTTTGTGAATGAATGTTCTCCGTGGAATTCGACGAATTCTGAGAAATTAACTCTATATGGGCAGCGCCCTCTGTTTTCATTCATTTTTATATATGGGCAAGTACCCCCAAGTTTGATTGAACTGCTCTTATACATTTTTTTCAGGTACATTTATTGTCGTCTATTTGCCAATTGCTTGCCGTACATTAATGCAGCTGGTAGGTTCACTCTCGAAAAAGGTTGAATCCTTTGACAATCATTACAGAGTTTACCTTTCAGGTAATTGGGTACTCTATGCAGTGCTGAATAATGATGTGCGGAAGCATATCTACAGTAGGCCACATCAACGCTTTCTGTTCACATCGCTCTCGACAGTGTAGGAGACATGTCACACTGATTGCTGAGGAATCATAACGGTACCGGATGTTGGACGTACCGCGGATCAGGAAAGGAAGAGGCCAAAAAGGAGAGGAAGCGACCAGTGCGCGCTCCTTCAACTTACCACGAGAAAAATTGTAAAATTCTATTGTAGTGTTGCTGTTGTACATTATAAAGCGGGTTTCAATCGTCAAGCATGTTCATCTAATCCAAGCATGACTTATAAGCCTCTGATAGAGAACAAACAGCTCCGAAAAAATGGTATTATTTTACCCATAATGCCCATGTCTAAGCTTTGAGCCTTCTTTCTTCCTTTGACAGCTTAGCCTTGCCACGTCTTGGACAAGGACAGTAGAGAGAGTCAGGTCCTGGCGATCCGGGTTGTCCAGGACGTCCAGGAGTTCCAGGTGGACCGCCCGCGCATTCTCGCAGGCGCACCCACTTTTCAGCCGGTACACCAGGCTCTCCTGGTACTCCTGCCTGTCCTGGTTCTCCCATTAGCTCCACGGGCTCCAGGTGGTCCAGCTTGACCAGGTGGTCCTGGTGGTCCCACTCCACCTTGTTCTCCGTCTCTTCCGGTTCACCAGGTACACCCTGCTGGATGTCCGGCGAAGACCGGAGGCTCCAGGACACCCGGATTACCTGAATGTTGGCAGGATTATAGTTTAGAACTGTGAAATGATACTCAAAGTACCCAGCTTGAAGCTGTGTTAGCAAATTCTCTCGAAAATTAAGATTTGTAGATGCCTCAGAAACAGGGCCTGCTGTACCCTAGAGAATGTCCAAATGGGGATTGTACTTGGTAGCAGGAGCGGAGGGGTCGTATTTGGTCAGGTAAGAGTTTTCATTGTTGATTTTCCCCCTTCTGAGGCGCAATACACTTCCCTAAACAAAAAAGCGTTGCAACAAAACTGATATTTCTGGTAGTTGATTGAAGGGGTGTATTTTCTCATCTCACCCCACCCATCCTCAATTGGCGGCAGATTTTTGGCAAAGTTTGGTTAGTAAGAAAGTGGACACCGTGATACATGGTCCTACTGGACGAGAATGTTGGGGAGGGAGTCGTAATCCGGGAAATTCTCCCCATTGCGAGCACATGCCCTGCTTAGAATGCAGTCTAGCCAGGATCCAAAAGTGAATGATGGAACGCTTGTCTTTTTCCGCTTCTTCCGTTCATTTGCTCCAATTTGAAGTTCACTAGCACGTGGCTGGAATTTCAACTGAAAAAAGGAAAACTTACCGGGAGCACCTGCATCTCCTGGTGGACCATCCATTCCAGGTTGTCCTGGTACTCCTCTTCCACCAGGTGGTCCTGCTGGTCCAGGTGATCCGGGAGGTCCGACTGGTCCAGGAGGACAAACTTTGCATTTGGATGTATCTTCAGTGATCGGAAGTGGTGGAACGATTCCGGGAGCGCCTAAAGTTTACTTATTTAACTACAACTCTATCACAGGCAGAAAAGTTGTATAAGATCATGGCTAACCTGGTGGACCTTTGCTGCCGCGCCTTCCGGGCTCTCCAGGGACTCCCGGGGCTCCGGGGCCACCTGGTGCACCTGGTGGGCATTGGTTCACTCCGCTGCACTGGCAAACACCTTGCGCCTGTCTTTCTCGACGGATTGTGGTGAATCCGCTGCCGGACCTTCTAAGGCTCTCGGAGACTTCCATCTGGCTCGCCTAGAAGAAGTTTTTAAGTCTTTAATTAGGAACAAGCAGATTTTGTTATCAGCTCGCTTCCAAAGTTGCCATCTAAACAGAAGGGGAGTTCGCATAGAGCCAAATCTTGCATTTACACCGTTCTACACCCCTTGCGGTTTTTGCATGGTGTCGATCAATCTGTAATGCGATTTTGGGCAGCAAACAAAGTTTTCACAGACAGTTACCATTCAACATTTTCTGATCGAGCTCTATGTAAGCCCTTACGATCAGCTGTGCCAAAATTTTTTGTCCTAGTCGGGGATTGAGCCTAGCTCCGAATAATTGGTCCATCCGCACGGCAAGGTCGTTCGTGATCTTATCAGTAGCATTGTACAGGTACGGAATATAAAGGAGACAGACCGCAACCACAACCAGCCCTGCACCGGCCGTTACGTTGGCGAGAAATTTCTCCATCTGAAAGTAGCGTTGATATAACGGAGCGAAAGTAGAGAATGGGTGCTATCTTGTATTCATCGTAAAAAGGAAATCGAGTCCTGACGCAGTTGTGGCCTGCTCTTATAAAGACTGCGGAAGGGTGGCAGTTGCGGTCACACGACCGGAACGGCAAAACAAACGTTGGAAGTAAGGTGACAACTTGCTTGCATGCAAATGTGCTGCATAATTCGCGAAGCGCATGTTCTCTGTATTGTTTGACAAAGGTTTGGACCTGCGAAAAGCTGAAGGAAAAAGCAGAGGGACACCATTTACAGAAGTGAAAAAAGTTTATTTATTATTCATTTTCGTGGACACAGTATATCGTGCGCCCTAATAATAGACAATCACAGATCGACAGAGCACATCAATTGAGGTCAGATCAAATCCGTAATGGCGGAATGTTCAAAAAGAGGGACAAACAGTCTCTTCGGTTTCATCGCGATTCCTTTTTCATTCACGCACGGCAAAAGCGTTAGGCAGCGTGACTAGTCACTTTCCAAGAGACATGTGGGCGTCATCTGCGTGCTCAGTCTGGAAGTGTGTGCTTCCACTACTACCTACCAATCCTATCACTTAGTAATATATCAAAAGTTGCGAGGCCGCTTACTGTGCGTACGTACTCCATTTTCTAAACTGCCTGCTCATTCTACTTCAGCACTCCGAGACATACAGAATATGCAAAAGATTGGATAAGAATGGCGCGAGTTCTGGCCACCCGGGTGGGGGCACAGTGGTATCTTAGCGGAGCTTATAAGGTACTTGTGGCATGCTTGTTTGATTTCTGCGAACAAAACGGCTCACTTCTACCATTCCGCAGCTTCACAAGACTCCACAAATCTTGAAAACGGGACTTGAGTTGCCATTAACCAGGAAAAAAGGATGAGCCAGCAAAAGTGAGAATGGCTCCGCCTTCCGCTCCCCCCCCCCACCCTCCTCCCGGGCAAGGCGAAACATGCGAGGAAATTCAGTACAAGTACAAAACAACCGTTTATTAGTACGGGCAAAACTTCTCATGTACACTCAATTATTGGACATTCAGCTTCAAAAGTTCTTAGATTTTCATTCATGATTGCCTACTCCCATGGCTTATCAATAAAAGGAACAATAGATAGGTCTCTATGGAGAGTGTCAAAGATGAGGAGGTGCACCACTAAAGCGAATGGTGGGTTACTCCGTATTACTGGGAAACGAAACAACCAACGCTCAGTGTGCTATCTAAGTGCTAGGAGATACCTTCACTTTTCCCACTTTTTCGAGTTCGGGAACTTTGGCTGATGATTTTCCTCTTTTCTCGGGTCGTCAAGGCGCCCCGAGAAAAGAGGAAAATATTATAAGAATATAGTCAATATTAGTGACGGGGAAAGCAATAAGCGTGGTCCGAAAATGCTCCTTTTTCGGACACTTTGCTCAGAGCGCTCGAGAGCGAAGAGTTTGCAGTTCTCGGGTCACTAGTACTAGTCAGAGACAATTGGAGACTGAAAAAGAGATCTCATGATTTTCTCATCACAGGTACTTCTTTGCCTTGGAAATCGCCCGCTGAGAATTGTTCGCTCACGGCGGTCCCGCTACTGTCGACAGAAAATTGCAGAAAACGTCATTCCGATTAGAAAAGCAAATTAGAACGAGTTTTCTTGCGTAAGAACCGGTATAGATGCTAAGATTGTCTGCGAACTGGTTCTTTATGCCATTACCGTACAACTGCGCTTCAGTTGCTGCAGGCTACAATCGCACTTTTCATGTACTAAAATTAATCAGGACTTCCACGATTGAGCCCCAGAGTCTGCGCGTTCTATTGCGGCTCATCTAATGAGCAAAAGCAGAAAGACATGGCATTCCTCACTTCCAGACAGCTTTTGATCGGCTTTCTCGAAACTTAAAGACCTCGCTTATGCTTCCCGCCCCTAACTTTGTGTTGGTTTGTCGGGTACTTGTACGTAGGTTCGTCTATCCGTCTGCAAAGTTCGTTTGAATTGGGATTTGGGAGGTAGTATGAGAAAGCGACCGCTACTCTAGCAGTCGTGGCGGTGCATCTAGAATACGGTATCCACCTCTCATCCGCTGTGACAAGGTTGGGTAGCCACGAATGAGCACCATGTCGTGTTACGTCAATGCGTGGGGTACAACTTACGCAAATTTCGGACCTTGCTGACACTTCATAAACAACGGTAGTGTAAAACATCAAGACTGATTGACATTCGACGAGTAGTTTGGTATGGATCTGATGAATCTTCTTTCATACGCGTAGCAAGTACAAATCCATTTAGAGAAGAAGCGAATGAAATGATTGGAAAAGAAAACAGATGGTCCGCTTGGCCCCTCCTTATACGAGCCAACGTTATGTCGTCAACCCCGGGGTTCATCAGTGAAGAAAAGGGTTGACGAAACAAGGACGACATTGATAAGGAGTTGTCAAAAAGGAAAAATTCAAGGGAAGTTGTAACGTAGGCGCTCGTGCGAACGCAGTAAAAATAAGATTGAAAAATGAAAAGAAAACTGAATGAAGGATACCATGCGAAGTGTGTGAAAAGAGAAAGAGAAAGAGAGAGAGAATGGAGCTAAATGGGGAGTAAATTAATTGTATAAGAGGTTGAAGCGCAAATGAAGGAGATCAGTATCTTACAATCACAGAAATTACCTGCAGGTAAAAACCCCAAGGACTATGAAGCGGTAAGAAAACCGCGCCGCGCGTAACGTGGCTGTGACGCGACTGGCACATGCCGACGCGTACACCGCAAGGCCGCGCCACGCGCGAGCGCGACTCAGCCCGCCCGCAACCGTCTGCAATGAAAGAGGAACTGTATAATGATTCGCCTTCATCTGTTCGTATTGTTTGTTGGTTCGTCTGTCCGGAAATTCGGTTCGACCTGAAGAACAACTTGAAGAGGCCGCTTCAGGTGGGGATGAGTAGCGTATGGGAAAGAAGTAAAGACCGCACAAGACCATTGACCTATGCGAAGCTCGGCCCTCAGTGGGCGGGGCATGCGCTGAAAGTTGGGGTGTCGGCAGGAAAAAAGTCTTAATTCGCTTCCAGAAGGAGCCCAGAGATGGAATAAACAGTTGAAATAAAAGTTGGCAAGGATTTCAAGTTCTAATCTTGGGAGAAACACTATAAGGGCGTCTCTGACAAAATTCATTAACTCGGTTCCCGAGAGAGATTAGAAACCGCAAAAGAGCCGATGTAGGAGGACAACATCTGGGGAGAGTGTGGCATGGCCGAGGTGTGCTAAGGCCCGCCCACAATAGGCGGAGCCTGCTCTCAATCATAGGGTGCCCATTTTAAAAACTTGTAGCTTGGTTCCAGAGCACTGCAGAGACCGGAAAAATTGAATCAAGGTCAGCAGAAGGTCCCCAGTCAAGAAATGTGGGGCACTCATGTTGTAGACGGAGCCTAGCCCGCGGTGGGAGCTAGGCACACATTCCAAGTACCGGGAAAAAGTGGATTAAGGTCAGCAAAGGGTGGTCGGTTAGGGAGGTTGGGCCACCCGGTGTGGGAGGAGCCCGCTCCAATATGGGCGGAGTCAGGCAAAACCCTGCAAAACGGTTCCAAGGCACTCCAGACACTGCTAGCAAGTAGACAGTGTCAGAAGCGATCACCGGTCGATGAGGGACACGTAGGCGGAGCGTGCGGCGAGCTGTGCGGAGCCGAACTTAAAAAAATTGTAGAACGGTTACAGAGCATTTCAGACACTGGGGAAAAAGTGGGCTAGGGTAAACTAGGAGTCACCGGTTTGCTGAGTTGTGGGAAAAAGTCAGCAACGGAACGCAGCAGCCCTGCAAGCGGTATATGCGGGTTCGAATCCCGTCCGCGGTCCGAGTTTGCCCACAACTCAGCACTCCTGTGATAACTGTTCCGAGGGACCTATTCAGTATGGTTGAGGATAATAATAGCGAGTCATAGAGCTGTCAGTGTTTTGTTACTCTTGAAATCAAATGAGCCTCGTTAGAGTGATCTGAATCTGCGCCATGGGTAGAGAGAACGTGACCGACCACCGATCCCCTAAAGGTCGTTTGTGCAGCCTCGTTCAGGCAGTCCTAGCAGGCAATCATGTAAAATGAGCATCTTGAACAGCATGTCTGAAAATTGACGTAGTAGCCACAAATTGCAGCGAGCTAATGAGGTACATTGCCATTCGAGATCGCTCAAATCTGCACTATACAACAGGAAGCTTTTAGGAGCTTCAGGATTTTTTTCAAGATTATCCAACGCAGTGAATAAAGAAATGAGCGCAATTGAGTAAAGTCGTCATTCGGGCTGTTGGTTAGGCGGTCAAAGGGTCGCAGACGCGGCTGCGGCGCGTCACGACCGCGGCGATCAGCTGTTTCCAGCCTATTTAGCCATTTTCTCCCTAATTTTCACTGTTTTGGCTGCTTTTCTTAAGGTTAGTTGTTCCTTGTCTTCACAAGGTGAATCATGATTGAGATTTCACTAATTTTTGCGAACAATTAAAGATTGAACAAACAATTAAACAAATACGCAAACAGAGTAGCAAAAACACTTCATTACAAGAACAAAAAAGAATCCACGTCCTAATATACTTCATAAAGACAAAAAGAACAACTTACAAAAACAATAAATAGTACGGTGGAAATTAGGGATAAAATGGGCTGGAAACAGCTGATCGCCGCGGTCGTGACGCGCCGCAGCCGCGTCTGCGACCCTTTGACCGCTAATCAACTGCCCGAATGACGACTGTAGGTAGTTGGAGGTAAATGATGCTCAGCTAACCAGGAAAGGTCAACAGGTCGCCATGGCCATTCAGGATGGGATGCATATTGGCGTGTGCGTCTCGGGAACTGAACTCAAATCTGCTTTCAGAATTTGCGGAACGATTCTCTAGGAGGAAGTTAGGGG